AAATTAGCTGTTTTACCCTAAAATTTGTTTAATACTCCCTAAAATTCCCATAAAACAAGTTCAATACCCATTAACAATTACCAAAATAAGGTCAGTACCCCCAGAGTACCCCGAAACAAGTTTAATAGGCTCCAAAATACCCCTAAAAAATTAAATACCCTCAAAGACTTTCAAAACAAGTTCAATACCCCCAGAATACCACCAAATAAGTTTTTCACCCCCAAGAATACCCCCCAAAATAGTCAGTACCCACAGATTACCCCAAAACAAGTCCATTAGCCTCTAAAATACCCCTAAAACAAGTTAAATACCATCAAAGACTCCCAAAACAAGTTCAACACCTCCAAAATACCCCCAAATGAGTTTGTACATCCAGGAATACCTTAAAATGAGTTGAATACTCCCCAGAATACCCCTAAATCAAGTTTAGTACCCCTTAACAATTACCAAAAACAAGGTAAGTAACCCCAGAGTACTTCACAAGTTCAATATCCTTCAAAATACCCCTAAAACAAGTTCAACACCCCTTAACAATTACCAAAACAAATTCAAAACAACTTCAAAACAAGTTCAATACCCCCCAATAATATTCTTAAGTTCAATACTCAATAATATTCTTAAACCAAATGTAATACCCCCAATATACCTCCACCAATGTATGCAATGTGTGCACTTAACTGCAATATAAAATAAGGAATCGATTTAAACTGTGTATAGATATGCGATAAAAGTAAAAGTAAATGGAAGGATACTTGCCATTGATGTGGTGCTGCAATCTTGATAAATCTTGTAACAATGCATGCATCTGCTCTTCCATGAACAGTAGCCCAGTTAAACTGATCCAGACCCAAGCAAATATCTAATATGGTACATGCTTGTACCTAAAAGGTGGGATACTCGGCAACTGAGTGCAGAATGTGTCTTCTTTGACAGTTTTCCCATCTGCCATGCCATGCACCATAACTATGCTTTGCATAGTTATGTAAATTACTTGTCCTGATACTTTCCAACCATGTTATCTGTCACTCCCCCTTAAAAACTCCTTGGCATTGGATGAAGCCCACCTCAGTCCTGTCTGCGGCTGACTGACTCAGTTTTAAGTTGCGCTGTCTTCAGGTAATGAAGTGATTGCTCTGCCAGATGGTCTGAAAAGCTGCCCTGACCCTTCCAAGAGGTAGCAGAGCACAATCTGCTGAAGTTTATCCTATGGAAGAATCCCAACTCTTGATGGAAATGTTTAGAGGCAAAAATAAGTGGACTTGAACTCCACACTGAGGCAGTGACAAAGGGGCTTGGGATCTAATGCACACACACACACACACACACACAGGTTTGTTTTTATGGTTTATGGGGACTCTCCATAGCCATAATAGTTTTTATACTGTACAGACCGTATTTTCTATTGCCCTACACCAACCCTACCCCTAAACCTACCCCTCACAGGAAACTTTCTGCATTTTTAGATTTATAAAAAAACTCATTCTGAATTATTTATAAGCCTTTTGAATTACGGGGACACTGAAAATGTCCTCATAAATCACCTACTCGTTGTAATACCTATGTCATACCCATGTTATTATACAAATTTGTGTCCTCATAAACCACATAAACATGCACACACACACACACAGACAGACACACACAAACACAGACACAGACACAGAGAGAGAGGCAGTAATAGGTTGAAATATAAGGGATTATCTACTCAGCAAAAGCGCACGCGATCCATTAAGGCCTCATGGTCACAGCTAACAGGATAATGTCCACGACAGGTGAGTTTACGTGTGGAGGTAATTGTTAGGTTAAAATCTAATTGCTCTGAAAATGCATTTTTGGAAAGCTGTTTATTTAATTTTTCAAAAAGTTGATATCTATGATATCTTCAGGCCATCATGCCCCATTGTTAGATTATATATATAGACTACAAATGTGATTAGACTAGTTATTATAGGCTATATATTATAAGGAGAAAATGTGATCGTTTGCAGGGTTTTAGTTAGCAGGCCAGGCCGCTGATTCAGGGAATGTGGGAAGCAAGCTGGATAAAGTGCTTCTCACTGATCTGGTTACCAACAATATGTGCCAGGTCAGAAAGTGACTGAACCATCGGTTTCCTTTAACACACATAAATAATCATGCTTTTCACTTGAGTGGATGACTTGAGCTAAATAAGGTTGAGTTGACTTAACCTGCTTGCTTACTTTTTACAGTATTTATATAACACACAACAGTCTAAATAGTCATTTATTCCGAATGCATTTTTGCATTCCACTGTGCTGCTTTTCCAATGTTTTTCTATGTACATTTGTGCTAAACGGACACATTTGCTTGTTGTGTCTGTTGAAGTGTCTCACATATCATGGCATTCTAAAAACATGGCATCAGAGTTAAAAGAATTCAGCTTTTATGAAAATTGTGAAACTCTTTTAGTTTGTAATGTTGTGGTAATAATGCAATTTTCAAAACCAAAAGGCAAAAAGTGATTTACAATTATTCCTTTATTTCGCTATATAAGCCAAATGGAGAAAGTAAACGCTTCTGTGCATAAAACAGAGCCACTTTTCCCATTGAGCAGTGGCCTTGGCATTCATGTAAACAGGCCTCATCTTTGTATTCTGCATAATCACAAACATGCTTCTTACTCATGCCTTAAATCAGTGTCACACAATGAAAAAAAAAAGAAAACAAAAGTGACTCCAGTTAAAAGATTCGGTATTGTGTAGTGAGTGTAGCTAATGAAACATTTAGGAGTACGACATTAAAGATGATGTAACTCTAACATTGTTACATAGTACTGTACATACTGTAGCGAACAAGGCAGCACATCAAATGCTCTTGAAAATAAACAAGTGTAATAGAGATCACAAAATGTGTACTTTCAGATAAATATTTAAAAAATATAAATAATGGTTACATTGCACATGTACACTCACATTGTGTTGTAAACACCACAGTTCCATAAAAAAATACAATATTTGATATACTTGCATTACAGTGATTGTTTCCTACATAGAAGTGTTAATATACAAGGGCCAAACAAAACATTGTTGAACTAATGCATGTTGGCACATCTACACAGCTCTGCTAATGTAACAGTTTTATCTCAGTTATATTTATTCCAGTGTTGGGTGTAAACAAAGCCCCTTTGTTCTTGCGTTATCCTTGGACCAGATACCATCACTGTGACAGATTTACAGATAGCTCCTTTCATGCCTAAAACACTTCAGAAAAGAAAAATCAACCATATTTATAAAAAAAAAAAAGCTACTGCCTCAGCATGAATAATGATTACATTTTTAGTTTTGCACTTAGCAAAACCCCCAAATATTGTGTAAAGACTGGAAAACGGCACTCTTATACACTTTAATATTGTCTTGGCACTAGTGACCACAACTTAAAGTAGCGTACTGTTCAACATTTTGGGCTTGGTATGATGTTTCTGAAAGTCTCTGATGCTCACCAAGGCTACATTTATTTGATCAAAAATCTTTTATTTCAACTGTAAATTACAAAATATTATTTAACTTAAAATACATATTTATTATATTATATAATATTTTTCAGCAGCCATTACTCCAGTCACATGATCCTTCAGAAATCCTTCCAATACTGATTTGGTGCTCAACAAACATTTCTTATTATCAATGTTGACAACAGTTGTGCTGCTTAATATTTTTGTGGAGACCATGACACATTTTTTTTTTCAGGATTCTTTGATTAATAAAAGTTCAAAAGAACAGCATTTATTTGAAACAAAAATAATTTGTAACAATGTAATTGTCTTTGCACTTTTGATCAATTCAATGCAACCATGTTTGGTACAAAAACGAATATTATATATATACACACACATATATATATACAGTGGGTACGGAAAGTATTCAGACCCCCTTAAATTTTTCACTCTTTGTTATATTGCAGCCATTTGCTAAAATCATTTAAGTTAACTTTTTTTCCTCATTAATGTACACACAGCACCCCATATTGACAGAAAAACTCAGAATGTATATATATATATATATATATATATAGTACCTATAAGTTAACATGCAATTAACAAACTGCATGTGCATGACACATACTTATTTTAACAGGTTGATTTATATACTATCTATTGAAACTATTCTCAGACGTGACATTCTACAGAGTAAAATCTAGTGTTAAATCTAAATAGACTTACATAAAAATTACTTTATGTATTTATTTTTGAACAAAAATGCACTGTTATATTGCACTGATGCAAAGGTATTAGACAAGTTACATTTTCTTCTCATGCTTTTCCTCCTCTTTGGAGTGAGCTAAGGTGAAGCGGAGGAAAAACTGGGAACCATCCATGTAGGTCATGGCGTCCCTGCGAGGTTCGTCGGGATTAAACAACAGCATGAGTCTGCCTCACAAATAAGTTGGTAAATAAGTGGTCTTTCACCTGTACGTCTATGGGAGCAAAACAACACAACAGTCACAGGACAGACTGGGAAAAGGAAGGGTTCACCAATGTCATCTTCACGCTCCAAGATGATGTGACGTGCACATGATCTGGGCTGAGGCCTGACAGATACACACTTTACAGCATTATTGTTGTTTCCCTACTACAACTTTTGACATCAACATGTATATTACATTATAAACAGGACAGCTGTGGTGACTGTGTCAAACTCCACTGTTACTAAGTCTTTGCTGAAGTCCAGAGGCTTCTCCATGTGTCTTAAGCGTAATCTTCACTGAGAAGGGAACTCTGCAAATGTGAGGTAATTCTCCAACTCCAACTAATGGCAATGTGAAGCTGATCAACTTAAAACAAGGGAACGTGTTTAAGTTTCAGCCTTAAAGAGAGTCATTTGTTGGTTTTTGATGAAATCTTGAGGTGAAAAAGACAACACTTTCGTGGTGCTACAATGTTATTTGTACTTCAAACATTCTGATAGCATATTTAAACTACCCTGACAACTGTTTTTAATGCACATTTAATAATCAAAATAATAAATAAATATATAATTGATACAAATTCAACAAGCAAAACACCACAGCAAGCAATCGAAACAAACAAAAAGAATGTTCATTTAAAAAAAAAAAAAGAAGACTAATATTCAGATGGCACAATGAAGATGAAAACAATCTGTTTTATGGCAAATCTCAAGACACGATGTGGAGGGTGTGTTTATAATGGAAACCATGTGAGATGCACTTGTGTGTGAGCACACGCTCCTACTTGATATTCTTGAGCAGGGATGTGCGAGCGTTAACCACTGATTTAAAGGCATCTTCACTGCCTGGGGCCACACACTTGTCCGGGTGCAACAGTACAGCCAACTTCCTGTATGCCTTGTTGACTTCCTCCCTACAACCGGAAAAGGAGAAAAACCTATTAGTCTCAGTTTGCACACATCAAACAGGCCTTTAAAATGCTGATATAGCAAACCACTGTGGTCCCACTAAAGAGGGATCACGGTGAAGAATCAGCTAATGAAGATAGGCTTGGCTCCGTACAAGGATTGTGATTGGCTGGGAATGAGGAATGACATGACAAGCTCATGATTGGTTTCTCAGGGTGTTATGGAAATCTCAAAGAGGCTGATTAAGATGGCAGGAGAGAATTTAGGGAGGTAATTGGATTGAAGGCATTCTCTAAAGATCTGACCCACATGATTAAACCAGCCAAGCTAACACAACCAGCAGTGTTGTATCAAAAATACTGAGACAATATAATTAAATGGGAAATAACAGTATCAAACGGTAATAACTATTTGTTGCTTGCTTTTAAGCATCTGGCATTCTACTAAATATTTCAGGGAACAGGGTAGTAAATACTAACTTTAAAGGTTATTGAAGCCACATAAAACACATTATGTCCTTTGTCACTAGTGGGCATTGTGTATGTGTTAAAGGGGTCATATGATGCGATTTCAAGTTTTCCTTTCTCTTTGGAGTGTTACAAGCTGATTGTGCATAGAAAAGATCCCTGAAGTTGCAAAGACTAAAGTCTCAAAACCAAAGAGATATTCTTTATCAAAGTTAAGACTCTGCTACGCCCTCCTAAAACGGCTCGTTCTAACACGCCCCCACATATCTACATCACTATGTGGAAATATTAGCATAATGCCGCCCAAATGTTCACGCAAAGAAAGAAGGCGTGGTTTCAGTAACCGCAGTTAGTGTTGAAGCAGCCATGTCAGGGAGACGCTGTGTGTTTCTAGGCGAAAGCAAAAGCACTTTATTTGGCCTTCCGAAAGTAGATGCATTTAGGAATCTTTAAGATTACTTACAACAGAACAGCAATGCATTTTATGGACGACAGTTTCGTGAACCTAGGAGAGGAGGTCATTCTGACTTTGCTATGACAATCTGGCGCTTCTGAATCAGCTACTGTTTTGTTATTAGTTTAAATATTTGCTATTGACTGTTCAAATGCGGAGTTTTGTGTGTGTGTGTACGAGAGAGAGCGAGCGAGAGAGTGTGCGAGCGAGCGAGTGAGATAGGGGGTCACATCACAGTGGAGTCAGCTGTCTTAACCGTGGCTTGTGTACTGCAAAGAAACACATACCAGCTTCATCACTGTGTCTGTCACGCAACTCTGTTCCCCTTTTGGGCTCTGTCTTTACATTTATTTTGAAAGATGAAGCTCGTGATTATGGTAAGGGCCGTTACATTTCCGACGAGTGCTTGCGGTGTTCGGCCAATCACAATGCACTGGGTCAGCTGGCCAATCAGAGCAGACTGCACTTGTCGGAAGGAGGGACTTTGTAGAAAACAAAGCGTTTGAGAGAGGCGGGGCATAGAGGACCTACAATAATGTACAGTATTTGAAAAATAATGTGTTTTTTGAACATTAAAGCATGTCAACATATTTTGTTACACCAAATACATAAAATAATGATCTTTAAAAAAGCATCATATGACCCCTTTAAACAAAGATGGGAACGCACTAACCTATATTAACATCAATTGACTTATAACTTCAGAGAGGTTAAGTGGGGTTTAAGAAAACAGAGCCAAATCAACATCCCAATCCAAATACAAAACCAACAGGGCTTGCACTAGTGATATCTGCTATTTTTAAATGATCGCCCGAAAATTTTTCTATATTTGGCTGATTAGTGCTGCAATCCTAATTTTTGATGCCATAATGTATAACAATGTTATAACAAACAACGCAGCTGTTTAGGGCTGGTTAAAAATGTTTAGAGAACAAAGCCCAGGGGCCTATATAATATAGTCAATTTAATTTAACTTTTTTTAATACATGTATTTTTTTATAATTATGAAATTTTGTGAAATATTACATGGCATGTATGGCATTTTATCAACCATCAGCTACCATGCATGCTCTTTAGATATCCACACCAGGCACTATTTTTTCAGTCCATTGCTAAATCACCATTAAATAAATTTATAATATACAAAAAGCAAATCTGAAATTATTCAATAAATCAACTGTATAACATTGCCAAACCACTGCTGTCAGGCATTAACAAAACTGCATCTGATACACTGCATCATGCAAATGCATATATACATACACTACTGTTTAAAAGTTTGGGGTCAGAAAGATTTTTTTTTTTTTAATAAATGAATACTTTTGTTTAGCAAGGATGCATTAAACTGATCAAAGGTGACAGCAAAGACATTTATAATGCTACAAAAGATTTCTATTTTCTATTTCTATTTAAAATTACAACAGCGTTTTAGTGCCACGTTAAAAAATACTAAAAAATCGAAGATTACGAGATTAAAGTCATATCACAAGAATAAATTCGAAATATTTTGAGAAGTCACAATTATTTAGACTTTATTCTCGTAATTTTGACCTTTCTCTCCAAATATTATGACTTTAATCTTGTAATCTTAGATTTATTATTTTTTAAATGCCATAGTATAAAATAAATGCTGTTCTTCCTAACTTTCTATTCATCAAAGAATCCTGAAAAAATTCATAAATCAGTTTCTACAAAAATATTAAGCATCACAACTGTTTTCAACATCAATAATGGTAAAAAATGTATCTTGAGCACCAAATCAGCATATTAGACTGATTTCTGAAAGATCATGTGACGCTGAAGCCTGGTGTAATTTCTGCTTTGCCAACACAGGAATAAATTACATTTTTAAAACATATTATATGAGAAAACGGTTATTTTAAATTGTAATAATATTTAAAGTAATATATTTCAGGTAAATGTAATAATATTTTACTGTTTTTGACTATTTTTGATTAAATAAATGTGTGAGTGGCGGAAAGCTATCATTTAGTTCATTAACCTGATACTGTACAACAGAGCCCATTATACAGAGCAAAAGGTAATATCTAAATAGCCATTCATCCAGATTATGATATACAAAAGTTCAGCAGCACAAGCAGACACATTAAGCATACAATTTACCTTGTGGCCCCAGGTTTAACCCCCAGCATATCCCAGCTGTCTTTGCTGTTGCGGATGCGTCGGATGGTGTCGGCCTGCTCTTTAGTAAAACCTACATTGACCTCTGGAGTGGGTCTCTTCCCTCCATTTTCACACATATCAGTTATGGATGAGAAAAAGGCCTGTGGAGGTGGACACATAATAAATAAAGAACAGTCATTCTTTAAAAAACAAAACAGCAGGGTAGTCAAATGAAAAGAGTTGTATGTGAGTACATACCTGAAACATTTCATTGATGCCTTCACCACTCTGAGCAGAAGTTTCAAAGTAATGAAATCCTCTGCTCTCGGCCCAAAGTCTCCCCTCACTCTCATCCACAACTCGCCTTTTTGTCAGGTCAACCTTTACGGGTCAGAGACCACACTTTATAACATTCTCTCACATAAATCACAGATAACACAATAGATATTTAAACACTAGTGGCACCTTGTTGGCACACACAATGAAGATGATGTTCTCCATGTTGACCTGTGAGCCCATTTCCTGCTTCATCTCTGTGAGCCAGCTGTCCAGAGCGTCAAAACTCTCCCTCAGACCAACATCATAGACCAGAATCACCCCCTGAGAGTCCTTATAAAACTCATTGCGGACCTGTAAAACACACAACATCAATTCCCTCCAACAACAGACTCTCATAGCCATCACAAGCCTGTGATCAATTTCTATTGACAAATGTTAAACGCTGATGCCATCAGGTTCTTCAGGGAGGACGTTACATGGACAGCAACTCAATACTACCACACTGTGGTTAGTTAGATGTATGCATAGAGCAATAACAAAAAACAATTCTCCATTACATTGTGTAATAAAAAGAAACATTTTGTCTACACATTATTTTAATATTACTTTTAAACACACTTAATCAAGTGCATACACATGATAAATCATGCAGTACAATACTCAAGTAAATGTACTTAGTTACTGTCCGCCTCTGTTCACGACTGAATCAAAAACTCTTTCTAACATGTCCGACTCGTAACGTGTCGAGAAAAGATGAGTAAACTGATTACGAGAAATTTCAATGAACCGAACATTTGACATATGGAGCGAAAAGTAAGTTATGCTACTCTTAAAGCTGAATCTGTGCTTACGATTTGATGGTATGGTCGTTTGATCATACGAAGAAATGTGTATACGAGTTGTTTTTAATATCGCGTATTTTATTAAATCGTTCAAAATATTTTCAGTCAAGCGTTTAGTGTTTAATATAAGTGCAAACTGGGACACATTAAATACACTTAATAAAACAAGCATCAATCATTAACAAGAATATGTGGTTACAAATGGCTTTATTGTAATGTTTTAGGGTGATTCAGTGTTTTTTTTAAAGAACCGGTTCTTTAAAATGAATTGTTCAGAAGAACCGATTCGCGTAAATCAATTCATACTACAGTTTAAATATATATATATAAAATTGACAGTAAATGTAATGTCCTAAAATAAGATCTAAAGGCAAAAAGCGGGATATAAAAAGCTGCTGGAACTCTATATAAAGTTCCTGAGCCAAGTGAGTGACAATGGGATGGAGAGAGAGAGTGCAACAAACCAATGCATGGGGGGAGGGAGGCTCTCATTAACATAGCCTACAGTGGATGAAAGTTTACAGGTCTAAAACTAGTAGTCTGGGACTCCCATGCTTTCCAAAAAAGGATTCAGATATAGAATAGGTTCGATTACAGGAATATATATTATTCTCATTAGTATAGCGAGAAGATGCCACTTCCATGTTTTCCAAATTTTTCAGGTCTCCCAGATTTGCCAAATCCAAGACGACTACTCTTGGATTGCAGTACTCTGCTGGACCATCAGGTTGGAGGTGGTAAGCATATTTTTTCACTATATATTTCTGTTTTTGTTGTTTTTACATGCAATTGTTTTCATTTATAGCTCATGAGCACTTTATTTACATTTGATGATTTGAAATAGCCTGATTCTGAATTTGATCCATGATTTTTTTGATCTAAGAATGCTCATACAACATTTAACAACTGCAAAAAATAATAAATGGTGGTTGGCAATATGCTGCCATAATTCAACCAGTTGGATTGCCATGGATTAGACGCTAGAGCTTCTCCAATCAGCCCAGGGTAGAAAACAAACACACAGTATACTATATTGTAGATATGGATTAAAAAAAAAAGGATTTATTAATATAATTTCATTTGGTTAAAAACAGTAGAACAAAAAGCCCCAAAAATAAAACAACATGCATTAGAATTTCATTAATTAGACAAAGTGGAATTTTGTTCTTCTGATGTATACAACATTCCCTTTTAAATCAAATGCAATATTAAAGTCTCTAAACAAAATGTATCTTTTATTAGACTCTCTTTATAAGATATCATGCATGTTTTATTCATTATAAAAACAGTGCAAAAAAAGCAACAAAAATAACAGGCGACAATCAAATACTACCAGAGAGGATGGGCAGCTGCAGGCGGGGTTCTAGTTGATTGACGCATGGCTGCACCAATTGATTCCTTCCCTCTCATCCTGTGTCTGCACCCTCTCCATCGCTCTAATGCCCTCCTCATCTCCCTCCCCCTCTGTCTCTCTCATTGTTGAATGGTCAGGAGGTGTGTGAATGTGTTCATCTTTGCTGAGGAGGGGCTGCATGCGTGCAGGAGTGTGTGTGAGTGTGTATTCGTGTGCGTGTGTGTGCACCTGTGTGTTAAAACAGCATTGTTCCTGATAGAGGGAAAGCTGTGCCTTGTTGTTTGGAAAATCCAAGGTCATTGGAGCCCGGTCACATGCGCCGTATGAGAGCGTGCATGTGTGATTGAGTGTCTGTGAGAGCGTGTGTCTCTCTCTCTCCCTCTCTCTCTGGCTATGTGACAGAGAAAGAGGCTTCAGGCAAAGAACAGAATTTCATCAGGTTTTCCATCAATGTACGGTAAGGGCGATTGTGTGAGTGCATGATTATGTGTATATGGTAATTCCCTGCCTGTGTTTTTAGGAAGGAAAGATTCATGTGCATCACAGGAGATTATGGCAATGACAGCAGAATGATGCTGAAGCAACAGATTGCATGCAGTATTGCAGCTCTGCTCTATTTATTGTGCATATTTCATTTCATCTTTCATTTCAGCTTCATCTTAGCTTCATCCACACTACTTTGCACCAAATACTCAAACACACACTACTAAAACACACAGACCTACTGCAACGTTCAGCTATTTACACTAACTGTACATTTGCATGTACACATATTATATTTCCTGCTGTATTCATATTATTTTCTCTGACCAGCATGCATGGTTGAGGATGAGTCGAACAAGCTGCATGCAGTCAGGCTGCGACTTTGATTTCTCAGAGCGTGGATGCCTTAGAGATGTGCGACTGGCTTTAGCGCTTCAAAACCAGATCGATTACATTTTTAACAGCCTGACTATTTCACTCAAATTTTTTCACTCATGTCAGGTAAATCAGCTTTTCGAGAGAATGTAGGATCAAGTCAGTTATGTATGCTGATCGATTATGCTATGCCTTTTTTTACTTAAAGAGTTCAAAAGATTAGTTAATCAGCAATGGCATATCATGTGAATATTTTTATGGTTGACTAGTATAACAAAACTAATTGATTTGACTAAAAAAATATTTGAAAAAAATGTTTAAAAAAATATATTTTTTAATTAAAATGTATATTATCATATTGACACTGAGTGAAAAATGTAATTAATAAATGAACTAATTTCACATGGTCAATGTTACAAATATATAGATTTGTGGCCTAGAATCCCATATGTTACCAATCAAAACATTTAGGGTCAGTAAGATTTTTTTTTTAAATTAAGGAATTGATACTTTCATTCAACAAGGATGCGTTAAACTGCTCACAAAATATTTTTATTTCAATAAAAAACAGTTATTTTTAACTTTCTGTTAAATTAAAGAATCCTGAAAAAATGTATCATGGTTTCCACAACAATATTAAGTTGCACAACTGTTTTCAACATTGATAATAATGAGAAATATTTCTTAAGTACCAAATCAGTTTATTAGAATGATTTCTAAAGGATCATGTGACACTGAAGACTTGAGTAATGATGCTGGAAAAAAAAATCAGCTTTGCCATTGCAGAAACAAATGACATTTTAAAATATATTAAAACGGACAACAGTTATTTAAAATGGTAATAATATTTCACAGTATTATCTTTTTACTGTGTTTGTAAGCAAATAAATGCAGCTTTACTGAGCAAAAGAGATTTTAAAAACATACAAAAATATTACCAACCCCTTAACTTTGGAGGATTAGTATATCACAAATTTATGTAATAAAGTTATTTTTTTTTTCTATTTTTTTCCTACATTTTTCTGTTGATCCAAGTTTAAATTATATTTTGAATCCTAGATTTTCAAAATTTTTTCCCAGAGATTTGGACCTCACTGCGTGTTATTTAGATTTACATTTTGGCCACAACTGCAAACTGTTTTGGGGCATAATATGTAATGTTTTAATAGTATTACTGAAACACTTTAACTAAGCTTCTTCAAAAAGGCACAACGTCATTCTCATACAGAGTCCTGGGTATGCAAATAATAGTTTTAGATTAACTAGATGCTCATGGAAGTAGAGCTTACAGTGACAAGGTTAAGTGACACTGAAGACTTGAGTAATGATGCTGGAAAAAAAAATCAGCTTTGCCATTGCAGAAACAAATGACATTTTAAAATATATTAAAACGGACAACAGTTATTTAAAATGGTAATAATATTTCACAGTATTATCTTTTTACTGTGTTTGTAAGCAAATAAATGCAGCTTTACTGAGCAAAAGAGATTTTAAAAACATACAAAAATATTACCAACCCCTTAACTTTGGAGGATTAGTATATCACAATTTTATGTAATAAAGTTATTTTTTTTTTTCAATTGTAATTTTCGGAATCCTAAATTTTTCTGTTGATCCAAGTTTAAATTATATTTTGAATCCTAGATTTTCACATTTTTTCCCCAGAGATTTGGACCTCACTGCGTGTTATGTAGATTTACATTTTGGCCACAACTGCAAACTGTTTTGGGGCATAATATGTAATGTTTTAATAGTATTACTGAAACACTTTAACTAAGCTTCTTCAAAAAGGCACAACGTCATTCTCATACAGAGTCCTGGGTATGCAAATAATAGTTTTAGATTAACTAGATGCTCATGGAAGTAGAGCTTACAGTGACAAGGTTAAAGAAGTAAATGAATAGGCTACATTATTCGGCCTAGAATGAAGTTCCCTCTCTGTAGTTCTGCTTTTCCCTGTGACACTTCCCTATGAGAGTGGCTTTGATAGTGTGTCCTGTTTTGGGCAATCTGAAGGGATATGGCATCTGTGATGGCTGATATGCTAAATATAGCTGTCATTTCAAGAAGCTCCAACAATTCAGGGGAACCGTATTTAGAGTGGCTGCGTCATTGCGAGAGAGACAGTGCCCAGAGTCTGCTTTTTGTGTTTCGGAAAGATTGATTTTCCATACTGTAGCCGCCACAACATGGAGTTTGATTCATTCACATGCATTGCATAGTGAGTTGTGTGTTATGTAATTTCTTAACAAAGCCCTATTAAAGCTGGATGTCTTCTAGTATCCCTACCAGCTTGGAGGATATCATATAAGCCA